ACTTGGCCCGTGGGTACCGGAAGAACAGTGGCATCCCTAATGACGATTTAGGCATCCAAAGAGGAGAGCACGTGGGAGAAGAGAGGATTCACTCGCATTTGGAAGTGAATGCATTTAAGTCTTTGTATCCCCAAACTCCTTTCAGTCAAGCTGTTCTTGTGGCAGAGGAAATAGGTGAAGCTCTTTCCTTGGGGCGCTTTCCTCCAGGGTGATAGGCTGTGGGCTTTTTCCCTGCCCCCTCACCAGCTGGAGTGGGCTGAAACATCCATGCCACGTAATTTAGCACAGTCAACTCTAGGGCTGCATGGCAACTTAAAGAATCATTCTCTCACCATCCTCCTGCAAAAGAAGTTGACTCAGACAAAGGCTCATACTGAGGTCTTTGGGCTTTCTTCCTTCCACCCTCCAAAAATGGATCTGTAAGCCTCTGCAGCATTAGTGAGGCCTGTGTAAAGGTGGGTCCCCTCTCGCTGTGCCGTGGCACCCCCTCAAAGTCTCCATGGACTCCATCTCCTGTGACGCAGACCGAGGCTGTGGCCTCCCTGGGCTTCTGCCTGTCCAGATCAGGCTTTCAGTCACCCCTGCAACTGGTCTTTCTTAGCCACTGTAGTTGGATCTGGGGAAGCAGATGCAAGGCACAGTCCTGGCCTTAAATTAAGAGCTCACAGATGGCAAACAATGGTAAACAAACATTTCAAAGCACCACAGTGTGATAAATTGGTAATTTGTGCAAGAGCATGCTCAGTAAAACCATGCCTAAGCGAGGGCGGGGGGAGGTAGCACCGAGATGAACTATCTCTTTGAGGGTGGAGAAGCCTTCCAAGGGCATCTCTAACACTTGAGTTTGGTTTTGATGGGTAAGCAGGAGATCATCAGGTAGGCACTGGGCTGGGCAATACAAAAGCAGGTACAAAGGCGGAGAGGATGGGACAGTGAGGCTCTTTACAGAACTAGGGTCTAAGGTTGTGTGGAAGATCCTGAGGAAGAAGGCCTAGAGGTAGGCAGAGACCAGTCACGGAGGGCCTTGAATTTTGTGTTAGGAAGCTTGCAGCTTATCCTAAAAACAATAGGAGGGCTGTCAGTCACGAATCATTTTCTTACTTGAGAGCAATTCTACACTCTGATAAATCTATTCATTTAGAAGATGGGTGACTGACTGCCAGATAAGATAAATGAGCTTGAAGGTAAAGAAAGAACGTTTTAGGAGCTGACAGCATTAAACCTGCGGTGGGAGTGGTATTTGCTGAAGGACCATGCAGGACGTCACTGTAGCTATGGCTGGCTTTTGATTTGGGAAAAGAATCATTAGTTCCGTTCTTAGAGGAAGAAGATTGTGGATGTCCCTGTTTTTGTCTGTTCACTGCTCAGAAGCTAGTCTTGGCTTTGGAACGCTGGCCCTGGTGTTTGGCTGAAATTGTTTAGGGAAATAGCGCCCTCTGGAGGAGGGAGTCTGTATATGTGGGGTGGGCCACAGCAAACCACTTCCAGAACTTTGGCCTGCTTCCTTCCCCAGGGGCCAGGCCAGCTTGGGGGTGGAGTGTACTGTTTATCCACTTTGACTCTGACCACCGTGGAGAACAAAGCGCCTGGCTGTGGGAGGTGGCACAACAGCTGGGAGCAGCACATCACAGCTGGAGGTGGCAGATAAAAAGGCTGGCAGCAGGCGACAGCTGAAGGCGGCAAAGACAACAGCCAGAGGCCACAGAGGCTAGTCCGCAGCCAAAATCCCAGTGCCCACGGGTCCCTGGCCTTCTCACTGGGCTCAGATGCTCCAGGTTCTGTCTCCTCTCAGCTGTGGTCTCTGTGCAAGGTGCTACAGAGGTACTTCCTGAGAGCAGGAGACTCGTGACCATAAACCTGGACTCCAGAAACGGTTGCTACAATTAAAAAAAATTTTGGACCAGGCTCCAGAATGTTTCTACCACCAACCTAGTTGGGAGCAAAGCTCTCTGAGCCTTAGTTTGTAATGACATCTTTCTACCTACCTCATGGTGTGAGGACCAAACTATGTATTTATAAGCGCTAAAATGAGAAGTAATAATATAATTATTTTGAGAATAGTGAGCAAGGCTTTCCATGGGCCCTCAGGGCTTTCCTTCTCCCTGATATGCAGGATTTCCCCTGAACACAAAAGTGGGACTCTGATGAGTAATCTAAACATCAGTACAGAAAGTGCACAGGCAGAGGTGGGAGTTTAATCTCCTCAATTATCCCTGCAAAATGCTTGTCCAATCTACCCTAGCATATCTTCAGGGTCTGGGAACTCTCCACACTTAGAAGCTTCTTCAAATGTTTGGATTGTCCTGTTACAGAGCCCTTTGTGATATCAGTCTGGAGCCTTTCTTCTTGTAGTTTGAACTTGCTGGCTCTGGATGTTCCTCTTGAGCTCAGAGAACTGGTCCGAACTTTTATTCACATGATAGCCCTCTTCAAGCCAAGTATTTTCAGACATCCGCTACATTCTTCACTTTGTCTCTTCATCTGCCTAAATTCCCCATTTCCTTTAACTGTTTCTCATGTGATCTGGCCCTGAATCCTCTCACATCCTGATTGCTCCTAGAGACTGGACATTGCAGGTGTGGTATAAACTGAGCCGAGTACAATCAACTTAGATTGTATTGCTTTTTTTTGTCAATCAAATTACATGAATAACTCCTATTGGTTTATTTTCTGCTAAAATGTTTAATTCTTGTCTTCATGGTACTGCTTACTAATTTATATCTTCCCAATCCTGAACTCGCTTTTGGGATATTTTTGAACCCAAGTATATAAATCAACATTTACTCTTTTTGTTAAATTTGGCCCATTCATTTGGCTCCTACTTAGCCTTTGCATTTGAAATCCCTCCCAGCTTTCTGTCATCCGCATAGTTGATGTCTATAGTATTTTCTAATTTCAATAAAATTTTGTTTAAAACACTGAATAAGGTTAGATCAAAGATAACGCTCTCTGGTGCATCAGGAGAAAACTAATTTCAGACTCAAATTGTTCACTCGTCAGTACCACTGATTAAAAAAACAAACTTAAATCATCTAATTAGATTGCCATTCTGTTCATTTTTCTCTATCTTGTCCTCAAGGACATGATGAAGGATCTTGCTAAAAATCTTGCTGAAGCCTAGACACACTTTCTCTATGCATTTCTCTGATTTGTCAACTTAGTAATCTTATCATACAAAGAAATCATTTGGCTGTGATTTGTTCTCAGTGAACCAGGGCTGAATCTTACTGATAACCTTTTCTCCTATCCCATTCAAGAATTTTGTCTAGGATCCATATCTTTCCTGTTTATAGTTTGTGAAATGTACATTGTTTTCATTTTGAAAATTAAAATTACGTTCACTCACCTTCAATACTGCAGTAACTCATCTGTTCTTTACTAGTCCTCAAAATTTGTCAGAGGGTTTATACCTTCTTTTTAAGGGTTTGAGGGTTACGTGAGAAGGTGTGCTTGTGTGTGAACTCCGACAGTTCCATATATACACACAGGCATTGTGGAGGCTATTTGTTCTTATTGCCACTACTGTACTAAATAGGGTTTTATTTGCTCTTAAATAGGAATTCTTTGCACTTCAGAGTTGTACAGCTTCTTTTTTGCTCCATGGTAACCAAGGACATGGGGCAATAATTAGCGCTCAAGTCTACTTGAACAACAGTCTCCCATGGATAAAAGTTCCAAATGGCCCACAGGCTGGTAAAGTGGGCATTCTGGTTGCTTCTGAACATTCTTGGGATTCTCATCCATTGGTGATTTTCAGTTCACTACCTATGGATGAACCCAGTAATTTAGAATTTTCCAGGATTGAGCCAGTGTAAAACAGGGGAGGGAGAAAGTGTGAAGAATGATAAAAGAATGGTTCAAATTCTCGTGAAATGGAGATTGAGATGGGCCTCTCTGATCTCCAAAAAGGGAAAAACTCCCATATCACCCTGCTCCTTTTGGAGAAGATCTGGTCATCAGATTCAGAGTCCAAGGGTTCGAGGGATTAAAATTTTCTCTGCTGGAAAAGTACAAGCCACTCCCTGGGCAGGGGTGCCAGGCACCTTGTGTTAAGTGCACTGTCTCCTGTTTCAGTGCCTTGTTCCACTTCCTACTACTATCAGGGCCAATAGCAATCCTGCATTTGAGCCTGTGCAGACATGGCAACTAACTAATACGTACTCCTACTTCTCCTACTTCAGGAGACAGGAGAATTGTCTAGACAATTCTGCAACCTATCATCGGGCAATTCTGCCAATTCTTGGGAAAATGTCCTACTGCTTCCGGGAAGCGTATGTAAGCTGTTTCTCTTTCACCACTGCTTATTTCTATTTGTCCAGGTCCTGTCTGTGTTCTTCCTAATACCAGTCTAGACCCTAACTCAGACCTAATGTCCTCAGATGATGCAAACAGATGATGGTGGTGATACTAATAATAAAAGAAATGGGCTGGATACTTGCAGAACATCTTGGTGACTTCTGCTATTTTCTCAGCCAGATGAGTGTCTTAGTATCATCAACAGGTATTAACTTGGGTCTAGGAGAGAAATTAAGAGTATGTGCGGATGGTTAAGAAGATTGGCCTGGAAGGATTTCAATGGAATATCTTTTCTTGCCTTGTAATATTCATGTGGATGGGGAAAATCCTACTTTAAAATTAGATCACTTTTCAGAACTGATTTTATGGAGATCGGTAGAGCCTCTGCTAGTCTCATCCCTACTTTCAATGAACTATGAATTACTTGGATGTCTGCCTCTCCTCTCCTAAAAATTACACACTTCCTGAGCTTGTACCTTCCTCTGTAAGCTGCGTGTTCTTAGAGAGCAAGGGTGATGTTATTTCACCCTTGACTTACCAGCACCTTGCAGTGTCCGGCATATAGCAAGTGCTCAACAAATATTTGCTAGTAAAAGAACAAGTGGCACCAAAAAGAATGTTAATTCCTGCTTGGCACTGGGTGGTGTCTATGAGTTAGCTGGATTTGTGCAGTAACCTCCTTGATGCTGTCTTGCTCCCTCTAGATGACGTCAGTTGCCAAGGTATATTACAGTCAGACCACTCAGACAGAAAGCCGGCCCATCATGGGCCCGGGAATACGGCGGCGGAGAGTCCTGACAAAAGACGGCCGCAGCAACGTGAGAATGGAGCATATTGCCGACAAGCGCTTCCTCTACCTCAAGGACCTATGGACAACCTTCATTGACATGCAATGGCGCTACAAGCTTCTGTTCTTCTCTGCAACCTTTGCAGGCACCTGGTTCCTCTTTGGTGTGGTGTGGTACCTGGTGGCTGTGGCCCACGGGGACCTGTTGGAGCTGGGTCCCCCTGCCAACCACACCCCTTGTGTGGTACAGGTGCACACACTCACTGGAGCCTTCCTCTTCTCCCTCGAATCCCAGACCACCATCGGCTATGGCTTCCGCTACATCAGTGAGGAGTGCCCTCTGGCCATCGTGCTTCTCATTGCCCAACTGGTGCTCACCACCATTCTGGAGATCTTCATCACCGGGACCTTCCTGGCAAAGATTGCCCGGCCCAAGAAGCGAGCCGAGACCATCCGTTTCAGCCAGCACGCTGTTGTAGCCTCCCACAATGGGAAGCCCTGCCTCATGATCCGAGTTGCCAATATGCGTAAGAGCCTCCTCATTGGCTGCCAGGTGACGGGCAAACTGCTTCAGACCCACCAGACTAAGGAGGGTGAGAACATTCGTCTCAACCAGGTCAATGTGACTTTCCAGGTAGACACGGCCTCCGACAGCCCCTTCCTCATTCTGCCCCTGACTTTCTACCACGTGGTGGATGAGACCAGTCCCTTGAAAGACCTCCCTCTCCGCAGCGGTGAGGGTGACTTTGAGCTGGTGCTGATTCTAAGTGGGACAGTGGAGTCCACCAGTGCTACCTGCCAGGTGCGCACTTCCTACCTGCCGGAGGAAATCCTTTGGGGCTATGAGTTCACACCTGCCATCTCCCTGTCAGCCAGTGGCAAATACATAGCTGACTTCAGTCTTTTTGACCAAGTTGTGAAAGTGGCCCCCCCTAGTGGCCTTCATGATAGCACTGTTCGCTATGGAGACCCAGAAAAGCTCAAGTTGGAGGAGTCATTAAGGGAGCAAGCTGAGAAGGAGGGCAGTGCCCTGAGTGTGCGCATCAGCAACGTTTGATGGCTTCTCCCCTCCTCCCGAGCCCTCTGTTCTCTTCCTCTTTCGATGCCCTGGGCAAGGGACACTACCTGGGTTTGCGCAGAACCCCAGAAGTACCCACCTCCACTCCTTCTTTACCCCAGGGGCCTGTCAGTAGAATAGGCCAACTGGGGTCCGAGTTTTCCTCCTACCGTCCCTTTTCACCTTTCCCTGCTTTTACCCTAAGGCACACAATTCCCTTAAGCCAGGATGGGGGGAAGGAGAGAGAAGATTAGGCTGAAGTGGCCTAGAAGGCCTCAGCCATGCTTGGAGACTCACGTTAAGAGGACCATGTGGTTGGATGGCTAGACTCCCCCCACCAGAAAGTTCGGTGACTTGAGGCTAGAGGCCCTCCTCTGTTTCCATCTAGCAAGTTCCCTAAGGCAAGACTCTCTTTGATGGTTGCTTTGTGGTTTGTACCTTCAGAAATATAAGCACCTAAAATCATTTTATTCTGGGGTCACTACCAACCCCTGTCAAAGGAAGAGTTTGTCATAGTCTATTTAAGTCTCACTGGTAACTCCTGAGCATAATCCAGGCCTTTGGTCACCACCACTTTTTCCTTACTAGTTTCCAGATGGAGCCCCTAAGATACATAGCTCTTCCATAGCTTCTGTTCTCAAGACAATTGGGGTGGAGCCGAGAAACACACATACACTCACAATAACCCCATCAACCTCAACCCGGATTCTGAACGCTTCAATTTTTGAGCTGTTGTGCAAAGCTATCCTCCAGGCAGCCCTGGGAAGATTTGTTTCCCTGTGTACTGTGAATGAGAGAACCCCTAGCCACTATGTTCCCATGGAAAAGTTTAGAGTCTAGGGCCCAAGAAAAGGACTGAGAATGATATTCCAGATCACACTGTAGGTGGCTCTTCTTCCTTACCACCCTGTGCAGATCCCTCTTTTAGAGAAGGGGAGGGAAAATAGAAGGGTTTCCCTCTCTTAACATTGATGGGTAACTAAAACTAGAGCTACAGGGCACAGACTCCCCCGAAAGGTCAAGAGGGATGGGCACATTCTCAGATTTCCAGGCTGACGTACAGAATTTGTGATCCTTTGTTAAGGTCTGGGCTGGCAGCCACTATTTTGTTACATCTCCTGCTTCCCTTCTGCAAAGTGCCAGTTGTGTCATTAGACAATGTTGGGAGGGGAGAAAACTGCATCTCCGGGTCAAATAACCATGGTCACCCTCAGCCATTCCTGAGACTTTATATACAATGATGAAAATCAGTGTTATCTTTGCTCTCCTCTGCCATGAAATAGTTTCAGGCAAGTACAAAAGATACTTCAAGAGGAGCCAGGGATGTAGCTCAGGGGCACAGCCCCTGTCTGACAAGTACGAGGTCCAGAGTTTGATCCCTGATCAAAAGATACTTTCAAAGATAAGGCTAAGGTCACTCGTTGTTTCCAGTGGGGACTGTGACAGCAGTCAAGGAAGGGCATATGGGCAGCAGAATTTTCTCTAAAGTCCCAAATCCCATGAGTACTCTCTAGTCTCACTTAGGTACAAAGGAACCCCCACAAAGTGGTTTGGCATAGAATCCCTGTATGAATCTTACTTAAGGCAGACACAATTTTACAAACTACACACCTGTACAGAATGGATGCATACATCTACGTGCAGAGCCTTGCAGAGAAACTCACAACATTTTGAGACTGGACCTACTTCAACCGTGCAGCACTTTTACATTGATCTCTCCTCGAACTCAACTATCTTGAAAAGGAAGACCTTTGAGTCTCCACTCACTGTAAGCTCCACCATTACTCTCTAGGTCTCATAAAAACAAGAACCAGAAAAACTTGAAAATCCGAATGAACAGAAGACAAAGAGCCAGTCTCTACACTTTCAACTTCACATTAGACTTACCTTAATTCTTCAGTGTGTAAGCACAAAATGTACTGCAATGTGTGTGTGTGTGTGTGTGTGTGTGTGCGTGCGTGCGCGCACGTGTCTAGGCCTCTTCTTATCCACTGGCAATTTGTCCTCCATCTGATTTCTTCTGCACACTGCTGCTTCCCTCCTAAAGGAATTCTTCTCTTCCTTTTCCCTGCTGTCTATTCTATTTTTTGTTTGTTTGTTTTGGGTTTGTTTTTTTTTTTTTTTTTTTTTTTCCAAGAACTTGGGTCCCTGCACTTGCAAAGCAGGCGCCGGAACCACTGAGCTAAATCCCAGGCCCCTCTGCTGTCTATTCGAAGACCCCAGACTTTTCATATTCTTGAATAACAATGTAAGAAGAGAACAATTCTGATTTGACTTTTTAAAAACACTCTTCCTACAATTCCAAGCTTTGTTCTAAGTTGCACTTTAAATCATATCATCCTATTAATAAAATACGGCATTTTCTCCAATATACTCCTTGTACCCCTGGGAAAAACTCCTCCCACCCCAATCCCAGTTCCTTAGAATACAGTCTATCTCCTGTGATTTGGAATTCTCTTTCAGACTAGCTCTGAAGGCAGTCAAGTCTGGTGAGAAATGGGCTATAGATGTAGAATGTCAGGAGAGAGCTATAGGCACAGATGTTAAGGGGAGAGATTTCAGAAGGGGGGCAAAACAACTGGTGGGGAAGGATACCAGACTGTTGTGAGAAAGGAGGGGACTGGGGACCCAGTGAAATCAGTGAAGCCCTTGAGTCTTACTTGGACGGGCAAACAAGATGTGGGTGGAGGCTTGTGGAATAAAGATAATGATACATATAAAAGGTTTATCTAAAGAAAAAAAGATAATATATATATAGAGAGATATGTATAAAGATGTATATATGCCCAAATATACTGACTGTACAGAAAGGAATTATTCAGCGACTTTAGCAGAGAGGGCACATATTTTGCCCTGGTTGCAGGAGTAGGACACCCAGATTTTCAGACTTACAATCAATGATCCTGGTTTTAACTTGGAAGTGAGAGACCTGACGGATTTCAGTTTTGATGGTGGGAAAAGGAGGGATGGAAGTTCCTCTTCAGAAATAAGCAAGGCTTTAGTTAGATGAACCTGTACTACTCACAGGACCAGGAAGAGATGAGCTGGAAAGTAATGGGGAAGGAAGATATTCTATCCACTGAAATCTAGGAAATCTACTGCTTATACTGTGTGACCCATCCCCAGCAGCATCCTGTCACTTTAGCACCTTAATAAATAAATTTTTAAAAAGCACCTTTCTGTTTTCCTCTCTTGAAGTACACCATATCTTTCCTTCTTTCACAGGGGTGGGAGTAACTTCAGCTCCAGCCCCTGGAAGTAAACTAAGAAGCTAAGCACTTCAGTGTTTGGTAGGCCTTAGAAGGAAGCCTCAACCCTAGAATCCAAATTCCAGAACTGAAGAGCAGTTGGGCCCAAGATACTCGCAGGGCAGAAGCCCATCTCTCTACATGGCTGCAAACAGCCTAGAGCAGGGGTCATCTAAGTCAGAAGAGTCTCGATCCTGGCATTTGGCATGGAGGGAGACACCTTGGCTTTTATGCTCCTGTATGGAAGTGAGGCATGGGGGCTACCATCTGTCCTGGGGGTGGTACAGTTCCACGAGGGGCTCCTGGAAACCCTACACTGGGCTTTGCCTCACTACCTGCCCCCAATCTCTCCCCCAATCTCTCCCAGCCAACTAATAAGACCATCCAAGGATCATGCTATGAAGTCTAAGCAGAGAAAAAAAGAAGCCTGTCATACTGCTGCTACAAGCCAGGAGACTGCACCTTTCTCCAGGGGGCTATCTTCGTAGCCTTTATCTATATATAGGCCTTTATCTATGGTAGCTAACCTAGTTTATCTGGAACATAACACACCACCTATGCTTTAAAGTTAGCTGGGCCTCTGGGTGCACGAATGGCCAACTCTACTGAAAATATTCAGGGATGGTTTTTCCATTCATTGCATTAAAGACAAAATCAAGTCAAAATTACCTAGGGAAGAGCTGGGCATGGTGGCGCATGCCTGCAATCCCAGCACTTGGTAGGCAGAGGCAGGAGGATCACTGTGAGTTCCAGACCAGCTTGGGCTACATAGGTCAGTCTCAACTACATAGTGAGACCATGTCTCAAAAACAAACAAACAAAAAATTACCTAGGGAAAAGAGATGTGTGAGTTATTTTTGGTTTATTTGTTTGATCAGAACAAGCTACTAAAGAAAATGGATGAATCTTTAGTTTCTAATTCAGCCTTTTTTTAGAAATCTTAACCAATACTATTGTCAAGGCCTGAACCAATAGGCTGTACCTGTGGGAGAGGAGGCTTGAATCCAGCTGGGCTGGAAGAACTCCTAGTCAGGAGACCAGGCCTCTTTTGTTAATTTTCTTTCATGCTTTTCATTAGTACTATCACCCAATCTTCCCAATCCTTTTCTGCACCTTCACTAATTAACTTTAGGACTCTTTAGCAAATACTTTTCAAATACAGTTTTTAAGGAGAAGATGTGAAAAATGTTAAGCTCCAGGAATATGAAAAAGTCTAAACTTAATCCAGGAAAGTCAAGTTGCTCTGAATCTCAGACACTATCCCTTTGGGCCAGTGACTATGAGCCCAATTTTCCTTCCATGTAGACTTGTTGGCCCATTTTCCTTATATTCTCAAGCCACTATAGGCCAAATCACAAAGAAATGGATTTGTCTTTTACCTTTACCTGAGAAAGGCCTGGTTGTCAGTATCCAGGCTTGACTTCTCTTTGATAAGAAGCAACAGATTTATAATCGCTGACTTAGTCCTCAGAGATGGAAGAAGTGGGAGGGGGAAAAGTATGACCATTAATAAATCTATAACATTTATGAAACATGAGGGATGAGTCCTAAGACATAGGAAATATATAAAATACATAACTCCTAAAAGTTTTTAGTTCCTACAAACGTGAGGAAGAGAAATAAAGTAACAAACAGAATATAACAAATATAACTGAGGGCAATAACAAGTACCATATGCTAGTGCCAGATATAGAATTAATAACGTGTGCTAAAAAGAGTCAGCTCTCCATGGAAAACACTTCACAGGGACAGACACTAGGCAAGGAGTGGTATCAATCTAAGAGGTCTGGTTAGAACACACTTGACACAAGATTCAAGAAAAGTCAGCAAATCTGGAGCTGCTATTATGTGGAAGGTACCATTTGACTAAGAAAGGATGATATAATATATGCCTTCGAGAGCTGCGTAGACTTATGGCTCTCTGCCTTCTGTTGCCGCGTTGAGACTCTCCCGACTGCCTGCCAAACCCTACCCTTCTTCACTCTAAGGCATCGTAGGTCAAGTAAATTCCCCGGAAGGTCATACTATTTATGACAGTTGCCATTTTATATCGTGAATTTATTTAGCTGATGTCTGTCTTGCTCACTAGACCTTAAGTGAATGGGATTCATGTCAAATGTTTGGTCACCAGCACAGTTCAGCACCTTGCACAGTCTCTGGCATATGTGACGCTCTATGTATCTATCAAGAAGAAAAGCGGGAGACGAGACCTGCCTAAAGCTCACAAGGCTCATATTAAGTGGCGTTGGTATATTTTAAATACACCATCGAAGATTTAGAGAACATATTTCACAAGGCATGACATCATTGATTGTTAAAAAATACAACAGATAAGGCTGGGGATTTAGCTCAGTGGTGCCGCCACCTGCCTTGCAAGCGCAAGGTCCTGAGTTCAATCCTGGTACCAAAAAAGTACATACAGTTTGATACATGTTATTGAGTTGTTGAAGATCAGGTCTAAGGTGTAGGACATTGGGCACAGAAAGAAACGGGAATAGATTCAAAAGAAATTATAGAGCAAGACAAGAGCTAGCAAAAAAGAAAGTGACAGAATTAGCCAGGGTTCTAGCAGGAAACAGTACACTCAAAGAGCTAAGGGAGCATGTTTTCATGAAGGGATCATTTACCACGATGTAGGCTGGTTTAATGCATCAGAAAGAGATCGTGATGTACCCAGGGACTTGCAAGGTAGAAAGCCTTTACCAGCTTTAAATTTAAAAGGACAGTTATTGAAGCAAGATGAGAATTGTACCCAAGGGAGAGGGCTATGCCTTCAACTGGAGTCTTGGCCTCAGAAGAGGAACTCAGATACAGCGTACGGCTACAAAAGACCAGCTGGTGCCACTCACTGGCCTATTCTATGGGAAGCCTGAGAACAAACCTCTCGGAGCACAAAACAGATAAGGAAGAGTAACGAAAGGAGATGCAGCCAGTTACTAAGGTCAAGGTCTTACCTAAGGATACCAGAGATGAGCAATGCATGTTTGTTTTCCCTAGCCATTAGCTCTAAAGGGACAGAAATCTAGGAGCAGACAGTGAAAGGGGGGATTAGGAAGTATCATAAATAGTCCAAGAGGTAACGAATAGTTGAACATTGGAAAAAAACGTAGCTCTTTCAGGGAGCTGTAAGAAGACAGAATCCCTAAATCCAATGCAAAATGTTCAATGTGAGGCCCTTGGACCCTGATGCTTCTATTCTACCTAAGAAAATAGCAAGTAGAAGCTGGGCATGGTGGTGCACACCTGTAATCACAGCACTGGGGAGGTTGAGGCAGGAGAACTGCTGGGAGTTCAGGGCCAACCTGGGCTACATAGTGAGTTCAAGACCAGCGTGAACTACAAACAGAGACCCTGTCTCAAACAACAACAAAAAACTAGAATTGGACTCCTCTTTCCCATTTATTTTATAGGACTTGCATCTGTTCTTCTTCCTCAACTACTTACCTCCCATTCCCTTCAGTGACATGCTGTTTCTTCGGAGCATTGTTTCTTCCTTTGTCTGCCCGTATTCGGTACCTCCTCTCTATAGGGTCAACCACACAGAGACAGATTGGGCTGGGGCCTTTGTGCCAATACCTAAACCAACCCAGCCGAAGACCCCTTACTTAGTTAATTCTTAGACATTTACCTCCTATATTCTCTACCTTCTGGAACTAAAGCTCACTTATCTGTAATTTGGAGAAAAAGAATAAATCAGAGATGGGGTCACAGAGACGATCAGATACAAACAAGACATCAAAGAGAAGAAAAAGAAATTCAGATTTATAATTAATATTTTCAAAATTGGAATCTTTATTACAAGTACGCCCCAAGAACACAGGAAGAAGACTGAAGCACAGAAAAAATGGTCCTCTGGGCAGTTCATCATCCCTCTCTTCCTCTCTGACAAAACTGATTGCTACGAGATTCTGAAGAACATTTAATAGAGAGGAAAGCTGTCAGCTTTTCTATAAAATTCTCAATGAAGTTACAAAATGTGACCTGCTGTTCAAATCATAAAATGGAAACTCTGCCAATTCATACTCTGGAAAAATAGGGCTGGGGATTTAGCTCAGTGGTGCTGGTCCCTACCTTGCAAGTGCAAGGTCACCAGTTCAATCTCGGATACAAAAAAAAAAAAAAAAAAACC